GCAAACAAGAACGCAAGCGTCTTGAAGCTATTTATGCAACCAGCCGGCAGATTGCCAAACCACTGTTAGGCTATGCCCTTCAGGGTGGCTGGGAAGCATCGACACCAGGCGGCATCATCCAACCCCTGTAAGTACATGAGGTGGGTGTATGCCAAGAGGTGGTCTTCAGGGTTGGATATATCATCATAGGTTCCAACCATGACATTTTTAACCTTGGCCGGCTGTTCGGCCTCGACTATTTTCTTGGAGAACGCAGAGGGTTGCTCCCCGAGGTTTTGTATCCGAAACTGTCAGTCCAAAGGCTGATAGTTATACGCCGCCTGTCCTTCGAAGAAGGCGGTCTATATGGTGGTTGTGCCACATACTGCGCCAAATTGATTCGGTGAGGCCCCAACTACATGAGGGGGCCGCTTGAGGGAAACCTCGGCACGGAAGAGGATTTCCTCACCGAGGTGTTCTGAAAACTGTCGTGATAAGTCGACGTTGAAGCCGACTCCGACAGCTGCTGATTCCTTAGTTGGTCGATGTACTAACGAGCATCAGGAAATGTCTGTTTGCTACCATCCGGATGAACATGCCGGATGGATTTCCTTTTCACCGTTTTAGGGAAACGAAGTCTTGACAAGTCAAACTGAGGCCGATCCTTCTCCGGGTGAGGATTCGGCTGTCGGTCTAGTACCGACTTCTGCTGCCCAGACTTGGCAGGCCTTGTGGCCGACTGCTGCTTTCTAGGGGCAGTCGTCCGCTTGTTGATTAGTCCTTTAATTTCACCCCTGAGGCTACTCATGAATTTCATGAGCTATTCATGGGTGACTGGGGCTGATCCTGTCGCCTGGGAGCCATCAATTGCATGCCCCGTGGGCTTACTTGAGGGTCCAGGGGGCCTATTAGTACCCGCCTAGTTAGCATTGCGCTCCTGCCTGTCTTTCTGACGGAGGCGCTTAGAGATGAGTGACCCATTAGGGGCCACATAGGTTTTGACATCTGCGTCATCACCTGAGTCATGGTCCGTCTAAACCTGTATTTCTTCCAGAGGCCGGTTGGTCTCTGGAGGCGGCACAAGATTATCTTGGGAAGCCATCTTAGAGGTAATCTCCCCACAGACGACACCAAATGTTTCGGGGTTTTTTGTGTCCCTCGGGAGAGTTACAACTCAAGACTGGATTCCATAAGGTTGCTTGTACCTGCAAAAAAATGACCGTCGGATGGTCGGTGGTCCGCCTCCAAAGATTAAGTTAGTAAAGTATTCGGAGTAAAACGTGCGGAAATAAAGTTATTTGCTTGGATTCTAAGCTCGGGTATTGTGCTGTCTGTTTCTTGAGAACGACAGCTTTGTAATAAATGTTGATGTGATGTCCTGTCCCCCGTAAATGAAGGAATTGTCCCTATTTATAGGATCTTTTGGGGAAGTGTGCCCTCCCTAAGGTTTGATGACCTAGGGATTAGGGCACGTCGTTTTGCGGCGCCTCAAAGTTTGGGCCTTTGAAGGCCGCCATTTCAGAGGTGATATCTGAGTGACATGTGTCGCACATCCTAAGAGGCCATTTGGGCGTCTCTTAGGGCGACACGTGTCGCTCTCTTTTTGGTCCATTTGGGATCATCAAATACCCTAAATCAGGGATGTATCGGCCTAACACGTGTCACCATCTGGAAGGTCCAAGGTGGCGCCCCTTCCAGTGACACACATGTCAGGTTCTGATTGGGCCACTTGGCCGGGTATAAAATACCTAAAACAGATGATAATATATTTCATAGATAAACAATTTAATCAAAATGGTAACCCGTTACAACGCCCGGGCCGCACACTAGTTAATAGAATAAAAGTGCGAGGATAGTTCAAAATTTATAGTTTTAATCTATGTTGCACCGATACGGACACGGACACGGACACGGGTACGATACGGACACGGTAAAACGGCAATCCTAAAATAGGGGACACGGGTACGGCGAATAACTAGGCATATAATATATTAAAAAAACGAAAATTTGACAACCTATTCAATAAAACACTAAGTAATTAAACTCAAAATAAGTCATTTTGTTTAAAACAAGTAATTATTTAGTGTCCGTACCAGTGTAATTATTTAGTACCGTAAAACAAGTAAACAAATTCGGTACTCATCTATCTAAACAAGTAAACAAACAAGTACACAAATACACTCAAGTAAACACTATTTCTTCTTCCTTTCTCTCTCCTCTCATCTATCATTTCTCACTCTTAAACTCCCATTTCTCGATCTCTCTGTGTCTTCCTCCAATCATACATCACAACACTTTGAAATTTTTTTCAACTCTTCAATAACACCAAAAAATCTACTCTAACAAGAAAAATCGAGAATTAAGGGATGAATTTAAATGAAAACGAGAATGAGAGGATTAACTGAGAGCACCGGCGGTGACGAGCGAGGGCGACGAGCGACGGGAAAGATTAAAGGGGGTTTCCGTTAAATTCGAGAAAGAGAGGACGGAGAATGACACCTGCGACCGGTGTGAGTGGTGACGAGCGGCGGTCAGCCGGTGACGAGTGACGGCAGTCGGAGACAATCTAGGTTGCGGTGAGGCTGAAGTTCCAGTTGTTGCCTTGTTGGTGTTTGAGTGACGAGAGAAAGAAGCAGAGAGGATTGAATTTGAGATAGGCAGGAGGACATGAGAAATTGAGCAGTAGGGTTTGAGGAAAATGCAAAATTAGCGTGTCCACTACCAAACGGGCCGTGTCTAGGGGTGACACGGTCCGTGTCCATGCATCGTTTTTTAAAAAAAAAAATTGGACACGGATTTTGGTGTGTCCGAGACGTATCGTACCGTGTCCCACCCGTGTCGGTGTCGGACACGCGAGTCGACTCGGACACCCCTATTATGTGGCGTGTCCATGCATCACAGGTTTTAATAAAATGCTTAAATTTACTACTTTCTCCAACTTTGTTTGTTCTTTTGTAGTAATTTTTTATGTGTAATTTTATAAAACTACCCTTAATTTTTTTTTTTTGAACACCCTTATTGAAATACTGATTTTAACTTATTAACTTAAACCCTCACATTGATTAACTTAATTATTTCCACCAAAATCATTCCCTTTCCATCTTAATTTATTTTCATATTCATTGGCAACCCACCACCACCAATCTCCATTCTATGTTCATCAACCCTAAAATTTATCTCTCTGTTCATCTCCACTCGATTTGAGTGTAACATTTTATGGAGACACCACCATTGCCAGAAGTCATTGTCGTTGTCCCTTTTGTTGTGCCCGCCTCCATTTTCTCTCTCTTCCTCTTCTTGTTGTTTTGTCATTGCCTGTGAAGCACATATTTGAAGGTTTTATTGTCAAATTTAATCATAAAAACTCTAGACCAATTAAAGCTTTAATTGATGATAAAGAAGGCATTTGTTTGTGGTGCTACGCGAGATTTTTTGGGTTCGTCGTTTCATGGATTGTGGGTTCGTGGGTTTTGAGTTATGGGTTTGAATTTGTTGTTGAATTTGAGATTTTGGGTTTGGGTTTGAGTTTTGGGTCGAGGATTTCGGGGTTGTGGGTTCATGGGTTGTGGGTGGTGGTTTTGGGTTCGTGGGTTGTGGGTGGTGGGTTTCGGGGTTGTGGGTGATGGTTCTAGGTTCCTGGGTTGTGGGTGATGGTTCTGGGTTTCGGGGTTGTGGGTGATGGTTGTGGGTTCATGGGTTCTGGGTTTCAAGGTTGTGGGTGGTGGTGGGTTGTAGTGGGTTCGGTGCTGCTAGGTGGTGGTGGTGGGTGGTTTCATGGTGCTAAATGGTGGTTTCATGGTGCTAGATGGTGGTATTGGGTAGTTTCGTGGTGCTAGGTGGTGGTACGTCAATTCAAGTTGCTGGATTGTGATTTTTGATTTAATTTATTTATTTTATTTTTTTTGGAAAAATTGATTTTAATAATCCCACCTTTAGCTGAATCGCTGTTAATAATCCCAACTTTTGATTATTATCTAATAATCCAACCTATATTGTCGATTCTCTTCTATTGGTCCTTAACTTGTTGGTAACCGATTTTAATAGGTTAAACATTTATGTGTTGATTTGTGAATGATTGTAAAATTAAAAAAATTAAAGAAAAAAAAATTAAAAATCGAAAAGAAGAAAAAAAAAAAAAAAGCCATCACGCCACCCACCCTACTCCATCTTCCTGCATCCCCACTCTCCACCACCACCACCACGGAACCCTACTTCCCATCCTCACCCAAAGAAAATAGCCCCTACCCCTAAAACCACCACAATTACCGCCCCCAATCCTCCTAAAACCGCTCTAATTCCCAATCCCACCCAACGAAAACCACCTATCCCCATCCCGGCGTCGATCTATCATTTTGAGCATCTAGGAATCGCCATATATAAATGCAAATTATGCTCGAAAATAAGCTTGCAGTAGTGGGATAATGAAGTCGTTTGAGCTCAGGAAGAAGTTTTTTCATGAGAAAGAAGTGTTGGGCATTTCCTAATTTGAGAATAAAGTGTGATAAGTGGATCAAGAATGACAAAAATTGGGTTGACGAGAAGTTAAATCGATGATTTCTTTGGCCAGAGGAGGGTCTAATTAAGTGGAAAGTAGGTTGTGGATTCGATTTGGGAAGCATTTAGGGTTCTTGAGAATAATTGTTTGGCTTTTGGGTTGTTTGTTTTTGTTGTTGTGATGATGGTGGTTTTTGTGGGTTGATTGAAGAAGAAGATGAGTGGAAGAAGAAACGATACTTGAGAAGATGGATTACCCGTTATGCGTAGAACATAATTGCAGGAGGGTGGCGCGTGGGTGGTTATTATTATTATTTTTTCATTTAAATAGTGACATGTGTTATTGAAATCACAAAAAAAAATTTACCTGATGTATAGGTTACCGGTCACAAAGGACCAATAGAAGAGAATGCACAATAAAGGTGGGATTATTAGATAATAATTCAAAGGTGGGATTATTGAAAGCAAATCGGCTAAAGGGGGGATTATTATAACCAATTTTTCCTTTTTTTCATTTTTTTTTTGGGGGGGGGGGGGGGGGGGTTGGATTAACACTTAAATGCATGCCCTTATTTTTCATTAATCATGCTTTCAATATTTTGCCTAAGAGTCCGCAATCCTATTTTATTGAGTAATTCGTAACGGAGGAAGTATATATTGACATACGTGCATATTTAAAAGTAGAACTTTTGGAATTAAAGGGAAATAAATCAGCACTATAACACTTCTTTACTTTCTTTAAGATTGTAACACTATTCCGGATTATGTGGTAACATTGTAACAATGATGATAACAAGGATGAAAATGATGATAACAAGGATGATGATAATAAGGTAACACTATTTCATCCTTCTCAAGACAATTTTAATCAGATAATGATAAATGCAAGGAAACTGCCACCCCACGATGTGATAACTACTATCCAAGACTATAAAATTAGAACAAAACACCATAATTCAAGACATCGAATCAATTAATCAAACTTGCATTTTACATTCTTTTCTTAATTCTTTTTTTTTTCTTTTTTTTTTTTAAAGCTTCTAGGCCTAGTGGCACAGATTAGTTAGGGATAGCGAGAGCATTGGTATGTTATAATAATTGGGAGCAGTTACACATTTCCGATTGAGATTAATCATGAAGTGTTGATTCAATCAGTAGTCTGTTTGTTTCTCTAACTTCCTACTTTTATTTGTATTCTGATGATCAAGCAATTAATATTGTCTGTGTTCTTTGGTAAAAGAAAAAGTACTGTATTTCATCAAACCACGTTGAATTTCATCTCAAATGTCTATCAATTGTTTTTGTTTTAGTAGTTGAGAATAAAATAATTATATAGCTTAGTTGATTAGATCATCTCGCCTGGTTTCAGAGGATCCTTATATTGATTTTCTTTTTGACAAAGAGATTGATTTTCATAATCCACCCCTTACAGCTTTATAGCTATCTGAGGAAAAAAACAAAAAAAAAATTGTTTTAATAGTTCTAATACTGTATATTTCCTATTCTTGAATTAGATAGGTGGAGCCTCGAGATGAGGTAGATCCTTAACAGCAACAAATTCCTAGCTACTGCAGAGGAGGATCACTTAAGGCACATTCACGGGTCTACTAGAGTTTTTGCAACTTCCCCACTTCAAGCTGAGGGGTTAGCGGTGCATGAAGCTATACATCGAGTGCCTGAGTATTATGCCAATGTAATCATCAAATCAGACTCTCTACAGCTGATTAATGCTTTGAGGAATCCAGAGACCGCAGATGAGGATATCAAGCTATAAGTCCAGGACATCAGGACAGAAGCTACTAAAAGAGACTTTCTAGTTTGTATCAAAGTAGGTAGAAGTAATGTGCAGCTAGCACATGACTTGGCTGTTAGAACCAGATTATCTGGCTAGTTGGTTACCCACATTTTCTGTCTGCCTAAAAAAAACAAAAAAAAACAAATTCCTAGCTTTGTTACCTAATATATGGAGTCGACTGCATGAACCGAGAGTTTACCTCATATGTTCATCCACAGTAAAGGAACCAAACAGAAGAAAAAATATGAAAAATAAAAAAAAATTACTTCTGTTCTGATTAGACTAAAAAAAGCCAGTTCTTTCCTACATTACAAAATTGGTTTATTTTCTTTATTATAGTTTGTAGATATTCAGTATGATATATCACCATAGTTAAAGTGTACATTCACAAGCAATAGCCTAACAAGGAAAAGGGCATCAGATTACAGGTGTTTGTATGTGCTTCTAGGAAACTATCTACAAACTCAAGTTTAATGGAAAAAATTTCAATTTTTTTTTCTAATATTCTTCCTTCATTTTTTAAAATTGTCTCTACATAGCCGTGGCTTTATAAAGTCCAATAATGGCAACGGTCGAAAGTTAAAATAAGTAACAGAAGAAAGATATACACAACTTAAGGCTATGTAAACTCTTACCCACATAGAAACGAAGGCAAAATATGTAAAAATACCAGTCAATGCGATTACCAGGGTACAATTTATCAAGCACTTAGCAGTTGACAGTTCTGCTTCGGTTCTCTGGTTTGGAAAATGTCCTTTGGTGTTGAAGTATGTAAGCAACTGATCCTTGCGCCGAAATGCATCCATCAACCAAGCAGAAGCCTCCTCTTCAGGTACTGGAATTTGCTTTAATGGAATGCGCCGAATATTAATATGGACTTCTGAGGGATCTACTCCAAATACATTGTCCATCAAATCAGGACAACTGTTCTTGTATGCAATAGTCACATCATAAACTGCAAATAATAGATCAAAAGCTGTAAAACTATTGTTGGAGAAAAAATACAACAAAAGAGATCCAAAGTCTTGTCACAGATTTCACAGGCTACAAAGATTACAAATTCAACATGTTTAAAAAGAAGCCCGTATTTTGTTTTCTTTTCCTAAAGAAATATGTGCTCCCCTCCCATTTGTGCGCGCACGAGCATACACACACACACACACACACAAACAAAAAAAGCAAATGTAATCAAGTTTTGGAAAAAGAAGGCTGGTTCGGCTACACAATTAAACTGGCAACAAATCACGCTCTCTGAATGTTCTTAATACTTTATCAATTATTTCTGAAAGCTCTTAAAACTTACACTATTTTGGATACAGCGAAATAGAGAGAAAGGAAGAGAAGAGAAAAGAAAGGATGCATCATCCTTTGATTGGATACCTAATGCAAGGAGGGAAGGGGAGGAAATTGGAATGATCCATTTCCCTTTCCCTTTTAATAAACCAAATCCCAGAGATTTAGAAATGAAAAGGCACCATCTTCCTTTCCCGTCCCCATCCCCTCACCTCCCTTTCCCTTCTCTCTTTTTCCTTCCCCGTCCAATTCCCTTCCTTATTGCCATCCAAATGTAGTGTTAATTCCATTTTCTAGCAAATTCCTTATACTACTTACCCCTCTTAATCAACAATATTTACAACATTTACTCACTACTTATATTATTCACATTTTTCTTACACCTACTCACCTTTATACATTATCTCTCTTAATTTACCCACCTTTCTTTCAGCCACTCATCACATCAACATTCACTCTTGACATATACTATGTTTAATACCCGCTTTAAGATAAGGAAAGACAAACTCAAGACTGTGTACATGAGAAATACTTTTGGCAAGGGTCAGTATAAGATAAGGAAGAATTATGAGTTGCTAAAAGATGCTCAAGATAAATGCAGATGGGATATACTAGTTTGGGAAAGATTAGCCACTCCCAAACATCAGTTTATCAGCTGGCTGGCTATACATGGCAGACTTCAGACTAGAGACAGGCTTTCTAGGTTTCGGGTATTCTCAGAAACAAAATGCCTGTTGTGTGGCATTGAACAAGAACCCCATGATCATCTGTTCTTCACATGTCTGTACAGCAAGAAAATCTGGGAGCATCTTGATTCTTGGTGCAGTATCAATGGGAATCTGGATAGCAGAAGATTAATGCGAAGGCTAGGAGATGCAAGCCTGCTTTCTAGCAATGCCTGATGAGAGTCTGCACTTCAGCTGTGGTGTATTGGATCTGGAAAGCTAGAAATACAGCCTTCTGGGAGTTGAAAATTTTGTGTACAGATACAGTTGTAAAAAATATAAAAAGAGATATTAGAAATAGACTCTTAGGGACCAACTCTAAGAGGATAGATTGTAAAGCTAGAGAGTGGCTAGATGAGCAAGTTGTATAGTCTTTAGCTTGCTGTTTTTTTTTTTCTGGGTGCTGCTCAACTCCCTGTTTGGGATTGGTTGTAAGAAAGGTTTTTGAGCAATAAAATCTACTTATTTACCCAAAAAAAAAAAAAAAAAAAAAAAGTGCTTTAAGGTTAATTTCGTATGGTTTTCAGCTCTTCGGAGCTGTTCTCGTTAACAATCTCTCTTCTAGTGTGGTTTGATCTATTTTATTGTGTTATGTAGGAATTTGGAGATTTTAATGTGATTTCCGACCTCATTGGATGTTACAAGAGAAATATACCCTTACTCAACTACGTAATAGGAGAACTAGTTAAGTCATACTTCCTCCATTTTTTTTTATAGTTACACTTCCCTAGAATGGAAACGTCACAATAGTTGCAACACACTATAAAAGGAAGGTTTTCATGGTGAAAATTGTGTTATTACCTTTATTTAAAACTCATGGCTCACTTGATTATACTCCTAACAACTTCTTAACCCTATTTTAAGTGTATTATATCATTTGAGGTCCACTTTTCTTAAATACTGTGATAAAGTAGGTGTTGTAACTATAAAGAAACGGAGGAAGTATTTGTTAGGTATGCGACACACCTATTAACTCTCGAATTATCTTAAGTGCAAATAGTAAATGTTAAGAACTTCTAACAACAGCAGAGGTAGTAGCACTTAATTTTTTTTTATAGAAATGTGTTTTCCAAAAGAATTTTGAGCTGCAACTCCCTCCACAATATTATATTCTTTAGGAAAATTTGTCAGAAAAAACCATTTATAGCAACTATTTTGTTGGGAAAAACCTTATAAATTTTTTTTGGCAAGAAGAAACCAGATTCTTAAATTATTTTGTTGAAGTCAACCAATGGTGAGAATCCGGCATTGACTGAGTGTTTTCCGGCGTTGACCTCATATGTGCCGGTCACATGCTCCTTTATTTTTACTAAACCCATCCAATTTCTCCTAATTCCCCCACTAATTTCCATCTTTCCTTTTAATTTACCCCCTTTTATCTTCTTCTTTCCCTTCTCCTTCTCTCTCCTCTCTTAGATCTCCTCTCTCCTATGTCATCTCTCCTCTCTCATGGGTTTTTCCTGGTTTTTTGAATTTATCCCAGAAATAGTTTTCTTCAATTAAATTCGACCAAGGATACACTGAAAGAGGTGTTTAATGGTTGCCTAATTCTTCAAATTGCAGGTGTTTGAAAAATTAGGTCTTTTTGCCCCCTTTTGTAATCTTCCCTAATTGATCTTATTGTTCTGAATTTGGCAGCAATCATGGCTCCATTGAACGATATCAGATGTTCTTGTGGTTTGGACATCTTGGACCCACGACAATCCTTACACTCTGGGTTTATATATAGCTTTGTAATTGGTTCCTTTTAGCTTCTTTGAACACGACACAACTCCAACACTTCCCTCTTTCCTTGCTTTGTTCTTCGCCATTGCAGAGAAGATTGAATAAAATTTCAGAAAAAACTTACCCAAAAAAAGGAAACCCAAAGCAATTAGATATAAACCATTAAGTGAACTTACCGTTTAGGATGGGTGGAAATTAACTTTTTTGATTGATTTCCAGATTGAGGAGTGACGCCATGGCAGAACGCGCAACAACCTTTAATTACCTCAAGACAGGAGAGAGAAGAAGAAGGGAAAGAAGAAGATAAAAGGGGGTAAATTAAAAGGAAAGATTTAGAGGGAAATTAGTGGGAATTAGGAGAAATTGGGTGGGTTTAGTAAAAAAAAGGGGCACGTGACCGCCACATGTGGGGTCAACGCCGGAAAACACTCGGTCAATACCGGATTCTCACCTTTGGTTGTCTTCAACAAAAAATTTTAAGAATCTGGTTTCTTCTAGCCAAAAAAATTTTATAAGGTTTTTCCCAATAAAATAGTTGCTATAAATGGTTTTTTCTGACAAAATTTCCTATTCTTTAACTACAGTATAATTGGTAATCTCATGCACCTCATAATATTATCACAGATATAAAATTTCAAAACCATGAACCACCAATTCAAATATTTATTTAATTTTTTTAAACAAACAAAAGAAAGAAGAAAATAGGTGAAGAGTCCGGTTTTCACAATTTCTTTCTTAAGTACGCACTTCTCAGAGATTGTACTTTACTGCCTGATTTCATCATGGAGCACATTCTTTGGGGAATGGCATGAATGGAAATTAACAGAAAAAGGAAAAAGGAAAAAAGAAATTGAACTAACCTGCATCTAAGGAACTCCTTAAAGTGTCCAGACAAGCACAGAAACCTTTTGTTTTAGGAAGCAAAACATTCTTCAGAACAGGAAGACCATTTTCAGCGGCGAAGTTCTGACTACTTGTGCATTTCTGTTCTCTGCCAAAATTATATAGAAAAGTGATAAAGCAGTCAGTGGCTAAATAAAGGGAAACAATTGAACAATTAACAATAAAAGCCATACAATACTTTGGGAGCCAATAAAAGTCAAGCATGGAATCTATTGCTTGACTAACCTGTTAGCATAAAATTCCATAACATGTAGAACCCATGGTGCCTTTTTCATTGCGAAGCATAGCTAAGCAATTCACTGGAGTTAAATCCCCAGTAGTCTGGCCAATAATTGGCCACCATATTATAAGGGACTACAATGTGCAGTAAGAATAGCATTGTAAATTTGTAATATCAAGCTACATTAAGGATTCAGAAGCATTGCATTGATATGGCAAGCATTGAGAACAGTGAAATACTACATTGTACACTGATGTTCGATTCAAATATCACTATGCTTGTCACTTTTCTCAAAATAAAATATCAAACCAAGTGATGAAAATATATTAATTTGATATAGAGGAGTATGAGTTATTACGTAAAATCAGTTCCTTCAGGGAACAGAGCAAGCCACAAGGGATCCTGATGGCTAGTAAATGTCAGTAGCATTTGGTGCATGATTGGTTCATCAGTCTCCCACTTCCTTTCTAGAGGTATGAACTCAAAAACATTAAATGCCCAGCCAAATATTGGAAGTTTCATTAAACTATTTTTAAGGATGTATTTGATGTAGCCAAGGCGTCCCTTCCTCAGTGCGAGATCCCATAAGTACATCCAATCAACCTCAGTTCTGTGATTGGCAATAAGCAAAACACGCTCCCCAGCAGGAACGTTTTCTCCAGAGAAAAAAAGATTGGTTTTGTTTATCTTCTCAAATAGAAAAGGCCATAATGCCAACCAAAGACCAAAGAAAAAGGCTGCAACTTTCCTACTGTAATGGATACTGCAGACCCGTAACAAGCCTGCTACCAGAGGTGCAAAGAACACTAAAAACATAAAAGCAGTTGAAAGAATAACCGTCAAACATATTAAACCCCTCAAAATCCTAAAAGGTGTCAAAGGACGGTGCTTTAACTCAATTTCAGTTTTAAGGGGCTTGCCAACTTCCATCTTCAAAATTCAAACCTCCCTCCTCAGTGCAACTGCATAACGAAAGAAAGAAAACGGCATTTGGATGTCACCACGCATTATAAGACATTAAACACAATATTTAAATTTTAAGGGGGGAAAATCACATTGGTAAGACAGTGGAAATGCAAAATAGACGATCACTTAGTTGTAAATAATTGATGAGAAGCAAAGAAAATGATCATGGAACAAGCCCCCAAAACTATGTAACAGAAGTGTACTACAGAAATCAAATATGAGAAGATTTGGACAAAATAAACACAAAGAAGAATTTGCCAACTAGGAGAGAAGGAATGAACATGTGACTTTGGACAAAATAAACACAAGAAAAATTTGCCAACTAGGAGAGAAGGAATGAACAAGTGACAGAAGGGAATTGCAAGATGCTGTTGAAGTTAGTTTGGCCCATCTAGCATGATTTATCATTAAAAATGGCAATAGCAACTAGCCCATCTAGCATGATATAACTTTAAGACTGTGAATAGAAACCTAAAGATACTTAGCACTATTGTACTAGTATATAGCCCAGACAATGCTTTTGAGTTACTCTATGCTCTAAAATGCATGGATTACTTATTTGAAATTAAATAATCCCTCCATCCCAAATTATTCGCCACACTTTGACCGGGAAGGGTTTTAGACAGACAAATTGACTTGTTGACTTCTAATTATTGATAGTGGGGGAGAATTTTTATTTTATAGTTAGTGAATAGTGGGTTTATATTTATCATAGATAATAATTAGTAAGGTTCTCTTATTAAATTTAGTTAACAGTGAGGTTTTTTTTAAAAAAAAATAAAATAAAATTATTATGACTAGTGATAATAGATACCAAGTAAAGTGAACAAAAATAATACTAAATAACGGGCCCATGCATTTATAGATGTGTTGCACGCAATACGAGATGACCTAATAAGAAAAGTCTTACAAGTATACAAAGATGGAAGGAGTAATGATTTTTCCCTACTCCTCCGGTAGATGGGAAGGAAAAATAAAACAGTATATTGGTAGGAGTTTAATTTTGTGACTTGGCATTAAAGTGTGAATTTTACTGTCCTCACTTTCCACCTTTGTTACTATGCACTTTGATATATACTCTAGAAAAAGGGGAAAAAGGAAGAATGACATCATACAGTAAATGATCAGGAATGATTGGAAAACATACAAGGGCAGTCAAGGAATTATCCATAAGTTTGTTTGAAGAGTGAGAAGTAACATCTACTAGAATATAAATACGGGAATAAGATAATGGAGAGGGCATACTGAAAACTGTTTCATCACTTTTGCTTATTGTTAGCTAGGAGGCCAATCCACTCCTCAAATTTTGTGGTAGCTTGTAATTGTTTGGTTACTCTGATCAATTAATTAAAGCTTATCTCCATCCTCTATTTCTTCTTTCATTCTCATCAATTAATTTCCATTAGATCATCAATTTGTGAGAAAACCAGACCTATATCCCAACAAAGAGATGCATTTCTAGTTCAATTATCCTCACATAGACCATTCCTTCAAACTCATATTACCACCCAAGCAGAACCAACACATGCATAACTTTAACAGGTGAAAAGGTTAGAAGTATTGAAGAACAGGAGTAAATTATTTTAGGCTTATACCATATTTCATCTACTCTTGTCATCTCAACTACAATCTAACCATAACATTAATCTCATGGACAATGATAACACAAACTTAAAGGTACCAAAAATCTACAATTACATCCCGCAAACTAACATTGACAGACAACATTGGTTTCAAGATAAAGCGTTGTGAATTTTATGGGTACGAAGTACTATAATGTTTTTAAAATAAGAGATCGTAAATCTCCATGTTTCAGTATAAACATATATAAAGTTAACCAATTTGGAAAAAAGGCATACACAATATCTTTATTCTTATAATTCAAAAACCGCCAACAACTTATACACTGTTCCATCTAATTATTAGAAAATTTTGTGTAAAACTACCCTAAACATAGGTTGTTTGTGAACTAACTACCCGTTTTTTTTTTCATTCTGTTTAAAACTACACATAAGATGGCAAATATTTGTCCGGCACTACCCATAAACGATTTCCGTCCAACTAAACCGTTTGTGGGACACACTCCTACGTGTCCCACTCAATTTTCTCCTCCTTCATTTAGTTTCCCTCCAAACTCATCCAAAAATCAAAGAGAAAAAAATTCAAGCAATTCAACATAATTTCTCACTAATTAAGTAATGTTTCATTATAAGGGATACAATTTAGGGTTTAGAACTTTAAATCAGTTTGGAGATTTTAATTTATAGGGCTTAAGGATTGAATTGGATTAAGGGTTTTGCTTATTTTGTTTTTTACAAATTTAGAATTCTAAGTTGAACAATAAAAAAATTAGGGTTTACCACATGTTCAACAAATTTTAATTTAAATGCCAAAAATTTCATAGTAATTACTATATTGTACCTTGTTTATCCTTGTTTTCGTTCAATATTTTCTGCATTTACTTTGCCCTTCCCTTTAGCCATTGATGTAGTTTCAACCTTTGACACGGAATTACCCAAAACAACAAGAAGATGAATAGGAAAGAGAGAGGGAACAATAAAAAAGGGTTTTAGGCACTGTCAATTTTCTAAAAAGGGGAAGAATTTGGAGATTTGCTTAGATCAGATTAAGATGGTGAAAGGTGGAAGGCCAAAGAGAAGTGAAATGGAGGAAAAGTAAATAATGAAGGAAAAGAAAGGTAGTTGAGGAGGGGAGTTAATTAGGTTGGAAACCGTAGAAATAGGCCCTAAAAAACGATTCAATAGACGCAAATCGGTAATGGGTAATGGTAGACAAATTTTTGCAATCTTATAAGCAATTTAAACAAAATTTGAAAAAACGGGTAGTTGTTCACAAAATAGTTTATTTTTAGGATAGTTCTATACAAAATCTCCTAATTATTATTTTTGATTTCTACATCTACCTAGTACTATGACAAATGACAATTGACTTAAATGGGGTGTTTTAATAGCAATGGTGGAGGGAAAGAAAGAGGTAGGACAAAGAGAGAAGGAAAGGAGGAGTAATGCAAGCATTCTTTCCTTAATCCAGTTTAGCTATTGCTTTATGTGTGCAGGTAGCTAGACTATCTTCATTAGTTAGGCTTTTCATACTCATATTAGTTTGAAGTTTACCTTAGGTTGTAATTCAGCCAGTGGTTAAAGAAAGCTCCTTGAGCTTGAAGACTGAACACAAGAAATCTACAACAGTTCTAAGAGTCGAAACAACAGGAACTTAATTAGCTTTAAATAACTAAAGTTCCATCCTATGATGTAATTCATCTAATAGATATAGTTATTTTATGAAAAAACTACCCATGTCATCTTTCTGAAAAGCTGCAACAAAGGAGCAGCAGTCTGCAATGATGAAGCTCAAGAAAGAAGGCAAACAGCTCCTACCAACTTGGAATATAGCTCCATTTAAGCCAACACTTCTTTAGCTATAGAGGGCTTTGATCTTAATGGTTAGATGTAAGGTTGTAAAACTGATGTTCGCAATATTTAATTCTGAACACAGTACACCAGCAGGGCTTAATAAACCAGCTCAGTAGAGAGACCTTTGATTCAAATGTACAAATTACTGAATATAATTTTGAACTTTAGATTGAATTTGTATAAGGGGAAGTGTTCTATTTCTTCTTGAACCTGGTTTGTTAGTTCTAATATGGGATTTCTACAGAGTTATGGAATCAGTAGCTTGATTGGCTAAGTATGATGCATAAATGCCATCAGTGCTAATTCCAGCGAGATCAAGCTTGTTTTACAGTAAAGTACTTTATCTTATGGCAGCTTAGTAGTTCTATTCAGGTTACTTAGGTACACTAGTCTAATTTAATGATTGGATCATGGAATTACCCCAGAAGAATGTTTGAGTTTCACGTTCATTAATTCATACTCCCTCTGTCCCCCGTTAAATTTCCCATTTCTCACAAAAATACTTGTCTCCCATTAAACTTCTGATATCACATTTTGGGTGGATCTACATAATAAAATGCATTTTTCAATCGTCTTATCTCCCCTTATAAAAATACCCTCTACATGTTTCAAGAATTCTAATCAACAAATCTCCACTACAACTTCCCTCGTAAAAACCTATGTCTAGGAGAAACAGAAAGTTAAACGGGGGGCTGAGTAAGTATCTTGTTTAGTCTTAAATTTATTATCATACATTGCATATTCTTCGCTCATTGAGCCAATTTTGTTCTGTCCAGTTCGCCTTTCATAAATTGACACTTACATGAGTCAACCTAAGTAACGCTTTGTTTGGATAGCAAAGAAGGAAGGAAAAGAAGGGGAGGGAAAATGGAGGAAGGGAAGGGAAAAGAAAGGGAGGGGGAGGTGAGCTCCATTTTCCCTCTAAATCTCTCCAATTTTGGAGAGATTATGGTTATTATAGAGAAAGGGAAAATGGATCCCTCCCTCTCCTTCCCCTTCCTTCCCCCAATCTTTTACCCAAACAAGAGATTTTGTCCCCCTCCATTTCTCTTCTCTTCTTTTCCTTTCATTTCTTCCTATCCAAACAAAGTGTAAGTTAGCAGTCAACAACTAACTCGGTTAGTAACATTTCTACTTTGATTTTATATGTACCACCTCAAAAAACTTGCTTATAATATCACGGCATCATAGATTGGTTTTATCTGAATTAATTCAATGCTGTCCAATAACTTTTCACTACACCGAAGATAATTGTAGTCATAATTCTAAATTCTACACATCGCGGGTAATATATAATAACGCCAATGCCATATCCTTCCAATACACATTAGGAATCCGATCCTTCCAATACACCAAATGCCGGAAACATGGCTACGAAATCGAAATCGAAATCGGATCCTCGTTTAACATCAAGCATTATTCAAGATGTGACCAGATTTAGAGTCAAAGGAACTTTGACTATAACACTGATTGATAGTTTATGTTGTACAAGTCATCCCTAAACTACTCTATTATCATAAAGTCAACAAATTTTGGGTTGTTAGGATTACATTTTAAAATCCACAAACAAATTAGCAGCCAATTTTGACTCAATAATCAAATTAGTCGAAAATAAGTCAAATTATACTCGATTCATAATATGAATAGAAAAATCCTAGCAACAAAATCGGTAGTTATAAATTCATAATATTTCATAACTTCAGTAATTATTAGCACTACTTCAATAATTCATCTTAGAAGAGCCCTAAATTGACTAAATTTACAATAAACACTAGGTTGTGAAATTCATATTCCATGATAAAAAAAAAATAATAAATAAATAAATAAATATTACCTGAGAAGCTGCTTTAAAGGAGGAGAGAAAGCTCAGAAGCGGCTTCAATGGAGAATTCAGAGTGCGCTTTAATGGAGAAGAGAAGAAGGAGAGGGTTGGTGGATGCAGCGTCAACGTAAAGAAGCTCCAAAGAGGAAAAAGAGAGAGAGTTAAACATAAATACGATAAAAAATAATGACACGCATACGTCAACCGCCAAATCTGAATAAAACAGTCATTTTCATTTATGGAATATGTTTTTGTTCTTATGGAATTTTACGTGTTGATAGCCATGACAGGGGTGTTTATGATCCAAGTTGAGTTTGAGTTTGAAGTAATTTGACTCGACTTGTTAACATATTCAGTCGATTTTTATTGGAGTCGAGTTTTGATTGATTTTTGATCGGCTTGACATTTGTTCAAATTTGACTAAGTCAAGCTTTGCCCGAGTCTATCTCGATTAGCATATAAATTGATCCATTTTAGTAGAACTTGCTATTTAGTGTAAGATCTCTTCCTACTCTTTAATTTTGTCTTTTGTGAAATGTACATATAGTGATATGATTATATAAATAACATACTCCCTTCGTTTCAATATGATAGTCACATATGGAATCAATCATATAAAATAAGAAAAGAATAATATTTGGAATCTAACATTAAAGTACAAAAATTGTTCATAATTAGTTTTACCTTATTTAAATTTTTTGATTTTTTTTTGGAAAGTATTAGCCATAATTGCATAGGTCATGGGTGAGATTTCCTTACTTAGAGTCATGTCATCAATCAACAATCAATTAATTTAACCAATTAGAATTTAATATGTATAAAATAGGAAATCAAAACTAAGTTAAAAATGGAATATATTCAATATAGGTATAAGTTTTTGAGACATCTAAAAAAGTACTCCCTTTGTTCCACAATGATGTTCTTGTTTAGAATTTTTTGACTCTTTCAAGAAAGATAGAATCTTCTAAATTTCTCTTAATCTATAAGAACAAATATATTCATGTGGGATCTAGTTTGATTCGTCTTGGTGAGAAGATTATTAGAGCATCTCCAATGGTATACAAATAGGACTTGCTTGCAAATTAATTAAAATTAAAAGCATGTAGTTTACCATTAGAGTGAAAAATTAATATAGCTAGATTAAGCAACGTTGCATGATTTTTCAAAGATAATATCATCCATTAAACATATGACATGTGTATAATAAAACATATTTTTATTATTTATATTTCTTCCAAGCTACAATATATGAATATACTACTATTAACCATTAGAGCACTTTGTAGCTACAAAATATATTAGCTTGAATATTTGATGTGGCAAGGTAAAAGCTACAAAGTATTGTAGCTTACCATTGGAGATGCTCTTAATATCTAACTTTTATAATTTTTGCTAGTGTAAGATTAAACATATTTATGGTCAAAGTTGGGTAAAAATTTACATCGATTTACGAAACAGGAACATCATTCTGAAAGAGAGGGAGTATATGGGACTAACATTATGAAACGAAGGGAGTATTGATTATTATTGTAAAAAAATGTTTTCAAATCAATTTTTTATTTTTTTTTTTATCAAAATATAAGGGAATTTGAGTTTCTCATGTGATTTTGAGTCGGGTAATGAGCTACTCAAATGTACTCATCAACATATCGAGCCAATCTCGAGCTTGAGTTGTTTGCCAGTTGTCTTTACTCATAAAAACCTTGCCGGTTGTGATTAAGTTTAATTCAAGTTAGGAGCGTTTGGTTGGTTTGATAACGGAAGTAAGTATGTTCAAGAACGCCATATTAAGAAAATTTTTTAAAAAAAATGATAATGAAAATACAAACCCTTTTGTTTGGGGGTAAAATTACCCCAAAACGTGGACAAATCTCCTAGTGACACGTGGCCCAATCAAAAGGCGACACGTGTCACTATAGGAAGACACCACGTAAGCATAATAGGTACTAATTGCGGAAAACATGAATCACATTCATAAAACACCTAATCCCAAGATCTCATGCACAACACATAAAGAATAAGAATTATACCTTTGAAGCATGATTCCACGTATGATCGATCAAGAACAATAAGGAGAACAAGAACCCCGCGTGTGATTCCTCTACTAAGTCCACGAGCACGGATCAAACCTCCACTAATGCTAGTTAGTCGTGACTCAACACTTCAATCAACCTTCAACGGAGATGAGAGTCATAAGCATACCACGAACCACCTGAACAACCACCACACGTGCCGCCTTGGAGGCCGGCCGTACGGTCAAGGGAGGAGAGAGAGGGTCGTGTGGAGATAGAGAATTAGGATTTTGGGAGTTGTTTGCTTGGTGCACAATTCACAGTGAATCAATTGTTATATCATGCAACCCTAGGCATGGATTATATTTATAGATCGCATCTCTAAATAAATCCATGTCAAGCCCAAAACATTCTAAGCTCATCAAACTATCCTAGCCCAACAATCAATGTGGCATGCCATAAACTCATGAGGCCCAATAATGGGCCTCTAACTTGTTTAACCCAATACTCTTTTGTGTGACCTCATAGGTTCCATTCTATAAGGCTTTGGGAACTTAAAATTTTCAATGCTTGATAACCAACATATCTTTTCGCTTTATACGTCAGTGAGTATAGCTCATTGATGTATTGATTCAAGTACGAATTAAAGGAAATGATGGAACTTTATTATACGGTGCATTAGATGCTTAATTATGCCTAACAAAGTATAAAAGTCAAGGACTCTTAAAGAAATGATTCTGAAAGATTATGAGATAAAGTATGATAAGAATTATAGGAATCGAGGAACAAAGAAAAGGAATAAGATTCCAGTTCTGCTAAAGAGTTTATGTTATTCTAATTAACTTAGCAAGTTATTATCTTCACAAGTATCAGATACTACTTGAGTGTTCCACTTTGAAAGTGACCTCAAACTATTGAAGATAAGCTAAGTTATTGACTTACAAGCTACATCAGTTGTAAGGTAGTTTGCTTTGTTTAAAGACCTTTTAAGCTAAGACTGGAACAAATAAATGGTTATTGAGTTCCATAACCATCAAACAATTCGTTAACACACGGAAAGACTAACATTTGGAGTAAAGAGCAATAGTTGCAAATTTATTTGAATGCATGGTTGCGTTGTCTAAACCATGAGTCAAGATTTCTTGATTATTGTAGGGAATATTTCAAGCATTACCCCAAACTTGAACCCCACTGTGATCATACACTTAAGCATGGTGGCGTCCAAAGGGAAGGAAGCTAGAGCAAAAGAGTCGCCAACAAGTTTTAGAGCTTGTAAACCGTTCACAGGATGAAGGTTGAGCCCCTTAACGATCCAAGAGATCGTTAGCTCCAATAGATCTGGAACCAAGACTGGAGGTTCGGGGATGAAGGTACAAATCCAATCTAAAAGAGAAAGAACTCGCCCTAATAATAGGCCTATACTTTATTCTACTCATATTCATGTGCGCTTTTTGACTAATATGCAATCAATAGGTTTACCCTAAACCTGTTTATCTATGTTGGTTGAATATTAATGCACAAATAAACCTATTATTGGCGATCACTTGAAATGAATCATATTAACCCTAAACAAGTTTATTAATTATCTTATTAAGCGTGATTACAAGTACAAATTCCCTTTAAACATGCGTAAAAGGCATGATCAAACAATAACAATAATATATAATCAAGCAACATAATAATAATAATAATAATAATAATAATAATAATAATAATAATACTAATAATAATAATAATCGTAATTATAACAATAATCATAACAACTATAAAAAATAATCATATTAAAGCATAATAATAATAGCAAGATCCTAGGCATGATACTAACAAGATTAATAACAAACCATGGCATGTCACTAAAAAATAAAGATCAAAGCTTTAGCCCTAACATGATACTAACATGCTATTAGGAAAGAAATAGGAAGCATCATAACAATCATACTTGATATTAGAAATTTTAGTTATTACCCTAAACATGATACTAGGAAGCAATAAAACATCCTAACATGATACTAGGATGCAATAAAACATCCTAATATGATTTTTATATCAAAATATCAATAAAGTAATTAAATTACTTACTTGGATGCCTCGTATCTCTTTCTAATAACAAAATACACACGTTAATAACTTGAAGGAAAATAATAAAATCAAAACAATTAAATTAAATAATTGAAATAGAGATTTGGGACCAAACCCTCGGAAGTATCAAACCTTTCACGTTTAGGGCGAAGGCAACTTCAAACTTGGATAGGTGTGTCTAGTGCTAATGTATGAGGAATGGTGTTTGTAAAAGGCTAAGATAGAAAGAGGGAGAGAATAAGCTTTAGCTTAGAGAGAGAGAAGAATTAGAGAATTCTGGTTGAGAGTTGCTGAAAAACGGAGGTCCAGGGACTCTATTTATAAGAAAATAGTCCGGAATCGATAAAAATGAATCAGAGTTCGAAAAGGAATAAAACATCCTCCTGTCGCCAACGACAGGGGCTCGTCGCCAGGCTGCGAACTTGTCGCCAGGCGACGAATCTGTCGTCATGCGGTGCAAGACAGTTTTTGCGGATTTTGTTTTTATCATATATTTTAATCCAGAAGTCTAAATAAGTCATATAATATGTTTTTGGAAAGCTCTTGAAGTCTGATTTCCAACCCATTTATAATCAGATTAAAATCTTTTGTAGATAAAAATATATGGCCGAAATAGTGGAAGGGTGTCAGTTTTGGATAGAGTTTCGTATTCCATTCATATCTTTTTCATTATAGCTCGTAATTTATATTATAATATATCATTGGAAAGATAATTTCAAGATCTATCCAACCATATAATATTTGGATAAAGATTATGAGGCAAAAAAATAATATCTGATTGTCTTTGAACATCTTTAAATTCGAATAGAATTAGGATTTAAAAAAAAGAAAGTTTTATTCAATTTCAAACTCTTTGATTTTATCTTTTCAAAAAGGATAATTAAGATCTTTTAGAAACTCATAGAAACTTCTAATAAATCCTAATTACTTTAGGAATAGGATTAAACCTTTGGACCCTTCACATGATCATTGGGTCGTAGGTAAATCTGGTTTGGGCCTAGTTTAGTATTTTGGCCATAACTTCCTCATTATTCATCGGAATTGGGCTTATAATATATCATTGGAAAGGTCTTTTCAATTCTTATCCAACTACACCATTATTATATTAGACCCATATCATGGATCAAAATAAATTGGAATGCACATTTTTCATAAATAGAGCAGGCTTTCGAAAACAGAAAGAAAGATGTTTTTATGAAAACTAACCACAACATTAGACTTTCCACACTTTCACCTTATTCGATTATGATTTGACGTGAAAGGTATTCAT